GGTGCCGGAAGAAAACCAGTGCCAGCAGCCAAGGGAAGGGAAGGCCTATTGCACGAATCTTTTCGCGCAACAGGCCTCTAGTACTATAAAAAAAAATAAACTCAAAACTCATTTAGGACTTAAAAGTAAGACCTAAAATCATCAAAATCCTAGAAAAAAAAACACCATAGGCAATCAACTCTCTGAAATCTATCTTAGTAGTATCTTTTTGGATATGTCTCCTTAGGCAAGGGCAACAAAAATAAACAAATGGGACCACATCAAACTAAAAAGTTTTTGCACAGAGAAGGAAACTATTAACAAAGCAAAAGGACAACCTAATAAATGGGAGAAGATATTTCCAAATGATCTATCAACAAAGGGTTAATATCCAAAATATATTAAAAACTCATACAACTTAACACAAAAACAAACACGCACATACAAACAACAACAAAAAAAAACAATTCAACTAGAAAATGTACAAAGGACTTGAATAGACATTTCTCCAAAGAGAACATACAGATGGCCGAAAAGCATGAAAACATGCTCAACATCACTAACCATCAGCGATTATGCAAATTAATACCACAGTGAGATACCATCTCACACCTGTCAGAATAGCTATCATCAATAAATCAATAGGTGCTCTCCCCCCTGGAGCATGCTGGTCCTTTCCCCTCCTCCTCCTCTTCCCCTTAGGCCCCTTACCTTTACTCTTCTCTCCCTTAAGCTCCAAGGGGCCCCTTTTTTTTGCCTCTGTAACTTGTTTCCTGAGCCCATTTCTTCTACACTCACTTCTACCTCTGTGGCTTTCTAAGTAAACTTTCTTACAGTTTGAAAATAAATAAACAAGTGCTGGCGAGGACATGTAGAAAAGGAAATTCATACATTGTTGGTTGGATTATAAATTGGTGCAGCCCTATTGAAAACAGTATGGCTATTCCTCAAAATATTAAAATGGAGCTGCCATACAGTCCAGCAATCCCACTTCTGGGTACTTATCCACGAAAACAAAAACACTAATTCGAAAAGATATATGCACCTGTGTTCATTGCTGCATTATTTTTAATAGCCAAGATATGGAAGCAACCTAGATGAATAGATAAGGAAGATGTGGTACATATATACAATGGAATATAACTCAGCAATAAAAAAAATGTTTTATTAAAGAATTAAATCTTATCATTTACAACATGGATGGACCTTTGAGGATATTATGCTAAGTGAGATAAGTCGGACAGAGGAAGATGAATACCATATGATTTCACTTAAAGGTGGAATAAAAAACAACACCACCACCAAAACAAATGAATAAACAAAACAGAGCCATAGATATAGAGAACAAGCTGATGATTGCCAAAGGAGAGAGAGGTGGGGGCATGATAAAATTAATGAATTAATTTTTTAAAACTCCTGTCCCAGAATTGTGCTAAAAACAAAAACCAAGAGCACAGGGTAGTAATTAATGGATGGAAAATTACTAAGAGAAACTTGATTAGATATTATGGGGGAAGGAAAAAAAAAGGGAAAGAGATAAATAAATACATAAATATTCAAGAACTCAAAACACTGTGCCCAGAAGCCTCTCTTGAGAATTTACTAGAGAATGGGCTCATCCAGCTAAGAATTTAATTTAACACGCAGACAGCATTATGATGGTGAGCATTAAATATATTAAGTTGTAGATCTCCAACTAAAATAAAAGTAATGACAAGGGTAGAAAAATAGTACAGAAATTTATTTGTAAAAACAATATGACTAAAATAGAAGTGAGGAGAGAAAGGGGAAAAGAAAATAACTGAATATAAGTAATAAATCGAAGGGAGTCAAGATATAGCTGACAAACAAAATAATATAACCCCAGTAAGGAAAAGGAATTTGAGGACATTTGAAAAGATACAATCATATAGTAACTATTGGAACAAAAGCCCAAGCATTACTAAACACTACAATTAATTTTAAAAGTAAGGTTTTTTGTTTGGCCTTGGGTTGGTTGGTTGGTAGCACTTCCTTATTTTCCAGCACTACAAGATATTCTGGGGTTCATCTCTGCATTTCCTGCCTCAATAATGGCATTTCTCCAAGGAGTCCTGGTTTCTGCTCCAAAGGGAACTGAAAGTCGTTTGGAAACACAGTTGCTTTGATTCTTTGGGCATGGGAGGAATCTCAAAACAAGTAATCAAGGCTGATTACTGGGAAAATGAAAGCTGAGACACCAGCAAAAGGGCTGGAGAGCGCCCGCGGGTCCTGAACCGCTGTCGCTCAAGTGAGCGACGTGCGACCAGGAAGTCTTGTATGCGAAGGAACCGCTGAGCTAAAGCCAGCCCGGGAGTGTCCTTTGGATTAAATTCATTTCACTGTTAAGAAGGCTATACGTCATAATAAATCGACCAAACCAAAAGTGATCCAGGATAATTTACCTACCGACTGTCCAATCCGCTGTCGCCGCACCCACCCTACCCCACCCCGTGCCCGTCTGTGAACACTCAGCAGTGACTCAGGTCTCCCCTATTCCCCAGTGAGCTCTTCCATAGTTGCTTCTGGGTTTATTCTCTCCAACTATGAGCAGTCACCTGATCCACCAGTCTCTGCGCTCCCGCAGGCCACCACACGGGGTCATTCTGTGATCAAATCAACTTCCACAGTGCCTAATCAGGAATTCACTCTTGCTTCACAAGCTTCAAATTCCATTTCAGGCCTTTTCTTGATCTTTGCAGCTAAACCAGATAAATCCTACAAATCCTCTCCCAGGTGTTAATAGAGCATTACTTATTCTGCTACTAGTTTTTAAAATTATTTTAAATCCCACATGAAACCCCTTTTATGTATAGTGTAAGTAGCTAACTCTTCTCTCCCACAATTCCTACTTTTCTCCAGTTAACCAGTTAGAATTTCAGTGTACATCCCTCCAGTCCTTTCCCTCAACCTATATATTTTACTGTACACAATTTAGTTTCATAATTGGGGTGCTTATTGGGGATCAGTTTGCTGGGCAATTTCTGTGCTTGTCTACTTAACAGTATGTCTTGGAGATCTTTGTCAGTAAATATAGATCTAATATATATTGCAATGGCTGCTTTATAGTCAAGTATAAATGTACCAGTTTTATTTTACACGTTTTTAAATACTTTGATTTCAGAGAGAGAAATACAAACATCTCATCAGTGATGAGAATCATAGATGGGGTGCCTTCTGCATGCCCCATAGTGGGGATCCAGCCCATGATCCGAGCATATGCCCTGACCAGGAATGGAACCCTCACCTCATGGTTCATAGGTTGACGCTAAACTACTGAGCCATGCCAGCTGGGCTGAACCAGCTTTATTTTAGATGCTTCACTGGTATAAAAACAAAACTTCAGTAAACAAGTATGTTTTTAGGATACTTTAGAATTGCTAAAGATTCTTCACATTTAAATTTCTGGAGGGATTATGGGAGGTGCCTGAAGCCACAGAATTATTTGGAGCCATACTAAACTTTTGTTCCCCAAATACTGTAAATAGACATTTCAAAAAATATAAATTCCACAACAGTTGGAGCTTTGATGCCTTGCCCCAGAAGATATTACCGGGGCCTGGAACACACTCAGCATCTCAGCATACACTGAACAAATGAACACAAGTAGGCCAGTCACAGGCATATTCCTCAACCAGAATGCAGTTACCTCCCATGGATTTTAGAAAACAAATATTAATGAAGTTCCTCTTCCAGAGATTTCTGAGTTCTCTGAGATTGCTCTGGGCTCCTAAATTTCTATACCTTCTCCAACATACATTGAGTTCCTCCAAATACCCATGACCTAGACAGGCCCCTTGGAGACTCAAACCACTTGCCAGTCCCTAGAGAATTTAAGAGAACCTGGAATTTAGAATAGTTTTTAGTAGAGTGGCCAAAGGTAAGCTTCCACTGTACCAAAGAGGAAGGGAGATGATTTGAAGCCAACTTGAATTAGTTTCCTGAAAAATGAATAGTGAACAATGGAAGGTTGTCAGCTCACTGATAATCTTCAGCCTGACTTGAATGGGGAAGCAAAAGGGTAGATTCTTATACAAGGACCTGTATAGTATATAATCATGACAAGGAAGGCATCCACTAATCAGCCTGCCATTGGGCAACAAATACTGTGTCAAACTTTCAGCCAGGCCTTGAGACACATTCAGTGGCAAGATTCGGCATTAGAAATAATATAGGCAAAAAACAGCCCTGCTCAGTTTGGCTCAGTGGAGTGTCGGTCAGCCCGGGGACTGAAGGGTCCCGTGTTCAATTCTGGTCAAAGGCACGTACCTCAGTTGCAGGCTTGATCCCTGGCCCTGGTTGGGGTATGTGCAGGATGCAACCAGTATTTGTTTCTCTCTCTCCCTCTCTTCCACTCTCCAAATATCAATGGAAAAATATCCTCCAGTGAGGATTAACAAAAGTAATATAGGCAAAGATCATTCAGAACAGCAAGGGAATTTTGTACAAAAGTCCAAAGAAAAGAGTATGGTACTTTGGGGGCTCACAGATGGTTCTGATACTACATTAAGGATTTCAGAGAACTACATGGGGCAGAGAATGTAATCAAACCCTATGGTGACAGCCTTAAGCCAAATAGAGCCTGCTTTTTGTGGCTGCCTCTTCTAAGGGGTGCTATTAGCATCTACTGAGTGGAGGCTAGGGATACTGCTAAACACCCAACAATGCACAAGGGAGCTCACACAACACAGAACTGTACAGCCCAAATTGTCAACAGTGCCAAGAGTGAGTAACCCTGTGCCTAGCCCAACTGTAGTAGTAAAGAAACCCTCAGTTCAACAAGAAGTTCTGCTGTTCCTAAAACACCATCAAAGGAGGCTAAAAATTATAGGAAAAGTTCTGTTCAGAGTCATCTGGACAGAGAACCCATTAGAGGAAAATACAACTCATGCTGAAGGAACCAAGGGGGAAAAAGCAACAGGGCTCAAATGAAGGGTGAAGAATACACTGTATATGGAAAACCCTCAGTGTGGGAAGAAAAAAAATACACAGGGAAAAATATGGAATGTTCCCACCAAATGTGAAATAGGCCCAGTCAATGCCATTTATTATACACGTTGAACAGCCTCTGAGACACAAAGGCTCCCATATGAGAGTTGCTGTTTTTTTTCCGTTTTCTTTTTTGCATCAAACAGGTTCTTCCAAGAGCCTGCTCACAAGGAAGACAAAAACGAGTAATCCTCAATAAAATAAAACAAACAGGAATAGTTTAACAGTCTACATATGAAAAACAAAGGTTAAAAAACTCAACAGACAAAATCCACACCAAACACTCATCCCATTTAATTTCCTGTTTCATGCACTGAGGAAACCAAGAACATCAGGCCCCAAAGCAGTAATGCTCTGAGGTTCTAGTTCAGGCTCCCTCTATGTGAAAGATTCATGCACACACATCCGCACATACTACTGACCCAGGCAAAAGTACACACGCATGCACAGGTGGCCAGAGAACCGCAGTGGGGGATGAGGAAAGGGGGTGGCGAGTGGCTGGTCAAGGATATGGTATCAACTGGAACCCGGGGGCCCAGAGAACCTTTCTGTGGCAGGCCAAGCAAGAGCCAAAATTAAAACAAAGGCAGAACACAGGATAAATGTAGGATGCTCAGAGAAGACGGGATAGATGAAGAGGGAAAGATGCAGGGGAAGATTTGGGAAAGCAGCCTCAGAAGAGGTTTTTCTTTATTGGGAACGCAGATGGGCAGAGGGCCTGTGACGCGGGTGGTACACTGAGGCTAAAGGAATATGCCCCAGCATTACCTCTGCCTCCGGTGCTTTCTCTCACGGTCGAGGGAAAGCATAAACACCCACCCTCTGGCCCTCCCCACTGCCACTTAAGGACTTTCCCAAGTACTCCCCCAAAAAATGACCCGCCCACACTCAAAGTTAAGCCCAGCAAAGGGCCAAGCACAGAAATCCTCAGTAACTCTTCTTGGTGGAACCAAAGCCAGAGAAGCCCATCACAGCTGCCATTTCATCATCCTCCTCAAATGTCAAGTCCTCCTCAGCCTTCCTTTTCTTCTCCTTCTGTTTCTCTTTCTTGTAGGCTTTGGCCTTTTCCTCCTGGAGGGGGTGAGGGGGAAAACCGCTCAGAGTAAGTTCAGGCTCCTGAGCCAAACATTGTTGAAAAAGATAGGTGAGCTTCAAGATTCCTTTCTATTTTTAGGAGAAAATAGTTAAAGACAAGTAAAATTTCAAAAGCAGAGGAAAAGCCACAGCAAAGAGTGTAAAGGACAGAGAAATTTTAGCCTGTAGAGAGCACTTCCCAATCCTACATTCCAGTTCATCCCCAGTTAATGCAGTTATAAAAGCAAAACCATTTAATAGCAACTAACATCCTGAGGAATGCAGTACATGCCGGGAACTGGTCTAAGTGCTTTAAGTATATTATATATTAAGATATCTAATCGGAGGAAACTGAAGCACAGTTTCTATAACTTGCCCAAAATTTGTAGCCAGTAAGTGGTGGAAACAGAATTCTGATCCACCCAGCATAGTTCCACTAGCCTCTTGGAGACCAGGTACATTTGTTTAATGTAGTATAAACAATATGACCCACAGAATCCAGGAAAAAAAAAGGACAGGTTAAGTAGATAGAGCGTCGGCCTGCGGACTGAAGGGTCCTGGGTTTGGTTCTGGTTAAGGGCACATGCCCGGGGTGCAGGCTCGATTCCCAGTGGGAACATGAAGGAGGTAGCCTATCAATGAATCTCTCTCATCATTGATGTTCGTATCTCTCTCTCCCTCTCCCTTCCTCTCTGAAATCAATAAAAAATATATATTTTATTTTTAAAAAGGACAGGTTTAGAGCCATTTCCTTCAATTCCTGAGAGTTTCAAATAAGGGCAATCAATGTTTCACCTGATATACAGAAATTCAAGAGATAGGACTAATACCCTGGGGGTGGCAGTGGAATGAGAAAGTCAGCCTTCCTCTGGCTAGCTGTACTGTTGTCTCATACACCAAAAGGTCACCAGTTTGGTTCCAGGTAAGGAAACATACCCAGGTTTTGGGTTCGATCCCTCAGGGTGCATACGGGAGGCAACTGATTGATGTTTCTCTCCCCCACGCCCCCTCCTACTTCCTCTTACTTTAGAATCAATTAAAGAATGAGAGAGAAAATCAGCCTCCCCATGATTCCTAATATACTATTCAAAGCTGGGGGAAGGAAGATGGAAGGACAAGAGAGCCTTACTTCTTCTCTGAGCTCCTTCATCCTTTCCTCAAAATCATAATCCTTTTGTTTCTCTTCCATCTTCTTCTTATTGACTTCAAAACGTTTCTTCACCTGATCCAAGGTGGAACGTTCCACACGCATAGACATGCCCAGGTTTCGCTGATCTGGGTGGGATCAACAGTGAAGAAGGTAAAGTAATAACAAAATCCTCAGCCCCTCAAGTCTTTTCCTGGTAATATTTTTTCCTTTAAGAAATTTTTAAAGAGATTATTTGGGTCAATTTAACAACATATGCCAGGGAGCAAGACCTCACATGCTTCCTCCTGACATTTTTTTAACATCTTCTCATAAAACACACAGCAAAAATAATTATAGCTAAAACAAAAACAAAACTCCCTTGGCTTTACTTGATTCCAGAAGCTGCAGTCCCAGATTAATGGGATGCAAATGGCTTTAAACTTCCCTTAAAGCAGATGCATTCAGTGGGGACACCTTAACCCAGAAAACCATGGTTTGGCTTGTTGAGAGCCTGGAACAGTGTCTCACTTCACAGCCTCCAGAAACATTAAATAATGAAGTAACAGCCGAAACCGGTTTGGCTCAGTGGATAGAGCGTCGGCCTATGGACTGGAGGGTCCCGGGTTCGATTCCGGTCAAGGGCATGTGCCTTGGTTGTGGGCATATCCCCAGTGGGGAGTGTGCAGGAGGCAGCTGATTGATGTTTCTCTATCATCAATGTTTCTGGGTCTCTGTCTCTCTCCCTTCCTCTCTGCAAAAAATCAATAAAAATATATTAAAAAAAAAAAGAATACCAACTATAAGACAAAACAGCTATCTTCTGCATGTTAGCATCCCTTTAGAGCAATAAAAAAGTATAAAAATAAACGTATTTATACATTACCCGCATTCTACCGCTAGTCTATAAAAAACGTATTAATACGTGTCCCGCGCTCTACTACCAGTCAGCGTAAAACGTATAAATATGTTTCCCGCATACAATGTGTTAAAGGAAAGACCTAACAGAAACCACCCTTACCCCGCCCCGACACCAAAGCCTGATTCCAGCCCCAGCCACAAACCAACTCCAAGCCTTACGTTTCTTTCCATTAATGTGATCCAGGAAGTTGATGGAGTCCTTCACCACACAGTCACAGACATTGCAGTAATACCTAGCAAACAGAGAGAAATAGCACGAGTCAAATCTGTTTGTAAGGACTGTACTGTTTTCAACCAAGAAACTAATATTTTTAGGTACAAAGTCTTTTTAGGAGGAGGCACATCTCATTTTCATAAAGCCTTAGCTCTTGGGAAATTGTGGTAACTAACCTCCAAGATGGCCCCACAATGATCCCCACCCTCCTAATATTTCTAAACTGTGTAGTCCCCTCCCAATTTATACCAGGGCTGGTCTGTGTCACCAACAGAATATATCAAAACTGATGTTGCCCTGGCCAGTGTGGCTCCGCTGGTTGAGCATCACCCCATGCACCGAAAGGTCACCAGTTCAATACCAGTTAGAGCACAAACCCAGGTTTCAGGTTCCATTCCCGGTCAGGATACAGGAGGCAACTGATCAATATTTCTCTCTTTCTCTCTCTCAAATCAATAAAGGCTATTTTTTTTTTTAAGTGATGCAGCCCTGGCCAGTTGGCTCAGTGGATGAAGTGTTGGCCCTCAGAATGAAGGGTCTCAGGTTAGATTCTTGGTCAAGGCATGTACCTCGGTTTCATTTCCATCCCCGGCCCTGGTCCCTGGTCCAGGCACGTGGGGAGGCCAATCAGTGTGTCTCTTACCTTCATGTCACTCTCTAAACCTCTCCTCTCTCCCTTCCACTCTCTCTAAAAAAAGAAAGAAATCAATAAAAAAATATCCTCAGGTGAGGATTGAAAAAAAAAATTTTAAGTGATGCTATTTCACTTCCAACATTAGGTTATAACATATTTTTTAAATCATGGCTTCTATCTTAGTCTGTCCATATGGATCGCTTGCTCCGGGAAGCCATTTACTTTGTTGGGATAAGGACTATGGAGAGGCCCATGCAAGGAAGAACTAAGGCTGCCAAACCACAGCCATGTGGCAGAGGCTGGAAGTACAGCCTTCAGCTCCACTTACATCTTGGATGAACACAGACCCAGCACACACCTTAACTGCACCTTTGTGAGAGATCCTAAGCCAGAACCACCTAAGTAAGTCTCTCAGATTCCTACCCACAGAAATTACGAGCTCTTTGTTGTTTTATGCTGCAACAAATTAAATTTGGGGTTAATTTACATAGTAATAGATTACTAATATAGAGAAGAATGACAACAGTAGCTCAGAGAAGTGTCACTCTGCTGTGTTGCCCTCCTGCTGGAAAACCTAACTCGAAAAAATATGGGCAGAAGAAATGAGTTCTTGTGGGACAACTCTTCCTATAGGTTACAGTCTTAGTCTAGGAAGGAAGTACACAACCACATAATCTATATTACCACCTTTACAGCCAATCAGGAACCTCAACCCCCTTTATAGCTCCTAGCTTCCATTCTAGCTCCACCTAATTTCTCCTCTAAAAATCTCCTCAGTAGTCCTTTCCTTCCAGCAGGAGAACAAATTATCCCTTTTAAGATGTTAAATAGTTATAGTGCTAATATGAAGAAGCATACTGAGTGACCCCTCCAAGAGATATTATAATGTTAACCTGAGATCTTGGGAGACAAAGAAAAATAAATCTAAGGATGGAATTACAGGCAACAAGATTGTTATCCTGACCCAGGAATCCTCCTCAACACTTCCTAAAACCAACATAATCTATTAGACCTACTCCTGGCTACAGTGAAAGATGAAAAGCCACTCACCCTCCCATCTCAGATTGTGGGGTGGTCTTGGTGATGACAATGGTCTTCCCAAGCTTGGATTCCAGGTCCACCTTGTAGTCCCTATGCCGGAGAAGCTCCCGCTTGACTGGCTGCACTGGTTTTCCTGAAATATAATGGGGAAGGAAGTCCCTTCAATATTGCAGCTCCCTTGCAACAGCATGGATGGAACTGGAGAGCATTATGCTGAGTGAAATAAGCCAGTCAATGAAAGAAAGATACCACATGATCTCACTCATTTATGGA